TTGGCGGAATTATTCTAATTTTGCGTTTTACTGCACTCTAATTGGCTTATGAAACGCCTTTGATTGGTTCATTTCGGCACTTTCTAGGCATCTTTTGCTCAAATGTTATGATGGTTAGAAATGCTTGGCTCCACCAAGCACACACAGATTCACCCGCAGACCTTTCATTTTTCAATTATACGCTTAACGTGTAATACAGTTCTGCCTCAACACTACCTACGGATGCCATCACTCAAAGCAGCACGTTCTAACAACGCACCCAGCGGCAGCCACGGCAGGCGGAAGCTCAGCAACGCCGAGCGGCGCGCGAACTACGAAACTTTGCTTAGCCTCAGTGTTCGCGGAGACATTCCGCATGGAGCATACACGAAGGTCGGTCGAATGTTCAAATGCTTTTGGAAGACATCTGCGCGCATCTGGCAACGAGGTGTGGCCTCGCTTCGTCCCGGCAGCGCGGTCTCCATCGTCGACTCCAGACTCAAGGGTAAAACCTGTCTAAACTTATATTTGCATTGACATTTATTCAATTTTGGAGTATTCGTTTTGACGATTGTACTATTTTAGGTAATTTCAACCGAAAACGAACTGCCGATGAAATTGAGTTGGCGGTGAGAGCCGTGCCGTTCATGACGCGCCAAACGTTGCGATCTTTGGCTGCCCACTCTCAAATTCCCAAGACCACCCTCGTCCGCCACATGGAAGAAGCGAAGACTCCCAAGGCGAAGTCAAGTTATTCGAAGCCGCTCGTAACAGAAGACAATCAACGACTTCGAGTGGAGCATGTGTTATCCTTTCTTTCACAGTCGTCGGAAAATTCTACTTTTTCCAATATGTACAATTATGTTCATGTTGATGAAAAGCGGTTTTTTTTACGACTGTAAAGAAAAGGTTATATTTTTGGCCGCCGTCGCTCGCCCAAGGTATGTCTTTCACAAAAAGTCGTACTTTGATGGCAAATTGGGAATCTGACCGTTTATCGAAACTGTGCCTGCAAAAATGGGCAGCAAATATCGCCCCAAGGTTGCTATAATTACAGTACCTCAAAATGTTAATTCGGACATTTACTGCGAAACAATACTGCACAAGGTGGTGCCAGCTATCCATCAGGAGTGGGTACTCCATCAAGAAGGCAAGATGGTCGTCGAAGTCATGACGAAATCGATCAAGCCGGAATCGCTGAAGACAGCGGTTCAAAAGCAGCTGCAGTTGCAGCGGAACAAGGTGTTGAAGAGCGACGTCTTTCGTTACGTCAACTGGCTGCGGACATTTGCAGCTGGCCACCATCTGTACGTGGGACTCGACGACGAGTCCAAACCTTCCCCGGCAGCGAAGCCGGTAGAAGCTCCACGAGGCGGCAAGCCTCATATGCCAAGACGTGACAGCGGCCGGGAAGACGCCGCCAAGAACAATGGCAGAGTCGGCGGGAAGGCCGAAACGATCGTGCCCAAGAATGCCGAGCCCCCTGCCAGGAAGGGCTGCTTGAAGTGCGGTGACATGAGTCACCGTGTGGCGCGGTGCCCGAAGACCGCGCCTGGCGAAGCCGAAACGTTGTTGGTAGTGCAAGTCAAGCGCTGGAAGGACGGCATCAAGGTGCTGCTCAACCAGCCGCAGCGCCAGAAGACAGAGCGCGGCGGCGTGCTGTTGGATATTATCGTCCGCGTGGACGATGTGCTCTTGGGCATTGGTTCGGACGTGACTGTTGTCACGCGCGGCGTCATGGATGCGTTGGACGCAGCCGGTGTCAAAGTTGGGACTGTCTCCCATAGCGTACCGCATTTAGCGTACCCGTATGGTAGTGACGCCAAGCCAGTTGTGATGACGCGCAGCATTAAGTTCAACTGCGTGACGATGGACACGACGTGTGGACCGCTTGTGTTGCGCGGTCTGAAAGCCTGGGTCGATGACGCGTCGACCGCAACCGAACTCATAGTGAGTCGTCCAGTCATGGAGTTATTGGGCTTCAGTATTGAAGACCTCCTTGTTGGAGCAAGGAAGAAGAAGGAAGAATGGGACGTTTCGTCCGTGCCGACGAACGAACTGTCCGGCATGGCGAATTTCAAGCGCCTGATGGCGGAGAAGTTGAATCCACGGAGCTTGACCCCGACGACGGGATGGGGTACTGGCAGTTGTCGCTACATGCGGCCAGATGTACTTTTCGTTCATGACGCCCTTCGGTTTGTACACCCCGACCCGCGTGCTCATGGGGCAGACGGACGCTGACGCGTACTACCAGTCGATTGTACACCAAATTTTTGGTGAACTGCTATTCCGAGGCATGTTGTCCTGGCTCGACGACTTGCTGGGGTCTGCCAAGACGACGGACGAGCTGCTCGACTTGTTGGACCAAGTTCTATCCACCTGTGCCCAGTTCAGACTCAAGTTGAGCCCGAAGAAGTTCCATTTCTTTCTGCGCGAGACCGAGTGGTGTGGCAAGATCATTTCGGGCGATGGATTCACCCATTCCCAAGCCGAATCCAAGGACTCATGGATTTGTCGCCGCCGACGACCGCGGTCGATCCCCACCAGTTTCTGTGCGCCACCAACTGGATGAGTGCGAGTATCCCTGGTTACAACCAGTTGGTGGATCCGTTGCGACGTCTGCTCGACGTGACCACCAAGGCAGCCGGAAGCTGCAAGAAAACGGCATTGGTGCATGTTGCACTCCCTGCCGTGGGATGGTTGTCCGACCATCTCAAGTGTTTCAACGATGTGAAGAACGCGTTGGCGCATGTGGTGCCCCTGTCACACCCGCGAGAAGATATGACGGTCTGTGGCTTCACGGACACCAGTGACCTGTTTTGGGATGCGGCGTCGCCACACAAGTACCGCCAGTGGACCTGGATTTGCCTCTCGAAGTCCAGCGGCACCAGCCGCTTGCATTCATCAGTGGGTCACTTTCTGGTGCCCGCTGGCTCATCGTCGAGAAGGTGGCCTATGCCGTGGTCGAGTCATGCAAGAGACTCGACTACTGGTCATACGCCCGGGTGGTTTCCGTCTATTTACGGATCACCGCAACCTGGTGTACATTTTCAACCCAGGTGGCTCAAACGCCACTATGGCCAAGAAACCAGGTCGACAAACAGCAGCGATGTTCGCTGGTGATGTCGATCTTCCCGTACACCATTGAGCGCGTCTCGGGCGACGAGAATGTATGAGGCGACCTCCTGAGCCAACGTGGTTCGGCTCCGACGGATCAACCAGTTTCGAATGTTCACAAGTTGATCCATGTGGTGTCGCCTCTGCAACAAATGGATTCGAGTGGCTGACAGCCGCTACGATCAGCGGTATCCAGCGTTCAACCATGGAAGGGGGAGGGACCCCCCAAATGGCGTGGATTGGGACGACGACTCCCTTTTTTACGTGGACCCAGACGGTGCTGTTGACCTACAGCAGTGGATTTGTGTGATCGTTCACCAAGGAGCCAGCAGTCACCGTCGCATCGCAGCAACGACAAAGTCGATGTCCGACAAGTTTGCGTCGAAGACGCTTTCCACAGTCGTCAAAGCGTTCGTGCGTGTACGCCTGTTTGCACTGCCTGTGCATTAATGGAGACGTGGTTCCCCGTCCATTGGGTTCGGCTCTTCGCACGGAGAAGCCAAACGAGCTCATCCATTTCGACTGGTTGTCGATACCCAAAGCCAAGTCCGGCCAAAAACAAGTGCTTGTCGTGAAGGACGACATGCGTGGCTTCGTGCAGCTTTTCGCGGCAGAGTCCGCTGACGCCACCTCGACCGCTCAGTATCTAATGACGTGGTTTAATCAGCTGCGTTGACACTTGGGTGTCAGATGGTGGCTCTCACTTCAAGAACGAAGTGATCGAGAAGGTGCGAAAGTTGGTGGGTGCCTACAGTCCTTAGGCGATCGGGACTGTAGAAGTAGTCAACCGACTAGTGCTGCGCGCCGTGAAGGTGCTGCTCAGTGAAATGAAGCTGAACACATACGAATGACCACATGTGTTGCCCCTCGTTCATGGTGCCCTCAACCATCAGCCGTAGACCGGCTGGGAGGAATTGCTCATGTGACAGCGTTTAGTAGCCTGCCAGGAAAGACTCCGCTGGCAGAATTTGTTCACCCAACATCCAAGGTAGTTTATGTACCCTGCCAAGTGAGCAGACTCATCGCATACCATGTGATGGAGACTCAGCAGCTGGTGACACCGTACAGAGTTAAGGTACATCACGCACGACGCTTAAAGATGTACCCCGAATTTGGTAGAAAGGTGACCGAAGACCCGAAGCGCAGATCGTGTTTGCCGATAGCAGATTTCATTTGGAGCGCCTGGAGAAAGCGGGCTGCGTGGATGGCGCACGAGTATTTTCCATCCAAAGATGTAAACCCACTTTGCTGGCGGATGCGTTAGGTGAGACAAGCGAGAGTTTCGTCAGCGGAAATGTATATTTACATTTAAAGTGGGAATGTCCGGGAATCATAACTGGTCATGTGGCTTGGACTTGAAAATGAAGAATCGTCCTGGGAACTTGCGGCGAATTTGCTGGACGACATTCCAGTTGTATTTTGCAAGTGAGTGGCGATCAACAAGGAAGACCCTGCTGTGGCCGCCCTCATCAAAGCAGTTGACTTTCCGTACGATAGGAAGTGTTCTGGACCGTGCAGAGCAATTGGGTCGCGCGTTTGTTTGACCTATTGCTAACACACACACTCTGTGTGTGTGCCGTGTCAATGCTCCGATACCTTAGTGGATATACTGAGTACTTTAGTGAATGGTAGTCAGGGGCGCCTCGTGGCGTGTTGAACCTCACTAATGTCAGTGTTATCTTTGCTACCTTGACGAAGGTCCGGGGGCCGAAAGCCAAGAAGGAGCGGGAGACAAAACAATGAAGCTGAACAACGATGGAGTTCTGTTTTATACTCCTATTAATACTATTAATCCAACGTACTGTAGTTCTACTAGAAGTAGTTAATACTGTGTGAAGTGGCATATCGGCATTCCACAACCCATACGAGTGGTCGCACCCTCCGAGGGGTTCCGACACCTCGGTATGCACCAAGGCACAGACAACCAATGGGAGGAGACCACTCGTGCTGTGTGGCAACGGCTCAACACCCAAGCCGATGCTGTTGCCCCCCGTGGGCTTGGGAAGAAAGAACTCCAGTACATTGTTAACTCGGTCTGGATTCCTAGTGTCCTCTACCGCACGGCTATCAGTGACGCCATCAGTATTGCCCCCGCCCTGGACACCCTGTTCCGTAAGACGGCGCGCCGCGTCCTCAAGCTACCCCACGACCACCCCACCGAATGGTTCTATGACCCCATTGACGGCCTGGGCCTAGTCCACTGTGAACGCTTCAGCCACAGTCA